ATTTCCATGGATATATCCAGATTTCATCAAGCAGTGCAAGAATAATAACATGGTGTCCACTTATATTGCTGAAAGAAATTGCTAAGTATCAAAATATATAGTAACAGAAACTCCACAATTCTTCTTCCTCTTCTTCTTCTTCTTCTTCTTCCTCTTCTTCTTCTTCTTCTTCTTCTTCTTCTTCTTCTTCTTCTTCTTCTTCTTCTTCCTGTTCTTCCTCTTCTTCTTCTTCTTCTTCTTCTTCTTCTTCTTCTTCTTCTTCTTCTTCTTCTTCTTCTTCTTCCTGTTCTTCCTCTTCTTCTTCTTCTTCTTCTTCCTCTTCTTCCTCTTCTTCTTCTTCTTCTTCTTCCTCTTCTTCCTCTTCTTCTTCTTCTTCTTCTTATTATTATTATTATTAGTAGTAGTAGTAGTAGTAGTAGTAGTAGTAGTAGTAGTAGTAGTAGTAGAAATTGCTAAGTATCAAAATATATAGTAACAGAAACTCCACAATTCTTCTTCTTCTTCTTCTTATTATTATTATTTTTATTAGTAGTAGTAGTAGTAGTAGTAGTAGTAGTAGTAGTAGTAGTAGTAGTAGTAGTAGTAGTATCCCATATACTAAACACAAGACAAAAGTGTGTGAAGGCACGGCTGGCATTGAGAGGCAGGTAGACGTGCTGAATAGGCAGGCATAGGATATTCTAGACATCAGCCGTCTATGGTATGGCCACTTCCGTTGCGAGTACAGTGAAACCTATGTCAATTGTGAAAGCATGCACCGCCATCTCTGTGCCACACAGTGGTTGGAAGCTTTTGATCAAAGAAATGCAAACTAGTAACAGAATAACAACCTTATTGACACAAAAATATCTATACACAAACATGCAATACATTAGCGCATACATAACACCTCTTCGACAACGTTCGAAATTTCTGGAAGCATTGGTCTGCGAGTGAAATCAGCTAACACAATTTGACCGTAATTAAGAATATATAAGGTGACTAAAATCTGCAGTCACCGGACCCTCTGCACAATATGGCACACATTGGAATAGTTATTTATACAGTTATTTTTTACTCTATTCTAATAAACTTTAAATAGCATATAAAAAGTCAAACAATTAGAAATTGGCCCCTAACTAAATTAAAAAATAATTAAACCAGGTCGTCATTCATTCCCCCTTTCTCTCCCGCACAAGGCGGAGCTATAATAAATTAGGACCGTGCCCCACATTAGCACACCACAATAGTGATTATGCACTACCGTTAATAAATAATCACTATGAACACAGACGAATCGCATCCTAAACATGGGAAAAGTACAGACTAAAATTCAAAATTACTAGATGACTATATTAGACTTTAAATTCTGGATGTCCGTATTGTCTGATGTGGCGTTTACGCCTCCCCTTCCGTCGTCTGTATTCCTCCCTTTCCACGCCCAGACACGACAATTGAAAAATATGCATTGTGTACATAGAAATATGGGGTAGTGGCTCCATATCTAACTTTTCGACAAATTAATTATCCCACCCGTTGGGAATAAACAATTCGCAAATGCCTTAAAGGCAAAGCGACTTTCATAACTTAACGCAATCTGAATAATTCTCGGCTAGCGAAGCAGGAGGAAACACTTATCAGGACTAGAGTCAGAGATGGAAACATTGATCCCTGAAGACACTATGAGTGCAATTCTGGGCCTAGGTCTAACGACTGCAACTGGTTGCAGTCTTAGAGCACAAGCATATAGGACGATGTTGCTCTTAATTTGAAGACGAAACGCCCCAATAACAAAAAGTAAAGTGCCAGTGAATCAAAGGAGATACCAACATAAAAAATATGAACACTTCCACAACTGGTGATAAAACAACCTGTTCCACTGAGAAAATTGCTCCTACTGAAACATCGCAAACTGCGCAGACAATAATCGATTAGTGGGAGCATGCGCCTTTGTCGACTGGAATACGAAGAGGAGTTGGTACCGTGTTAGCATCAATTAGAAAGGAGCAATTAGAGACATCAGATAGACAACAAGAAAAACACGAGGATCTGACCCCATTACTCCCTATATTGACCTCATCGACCACGACCGATAATAGGTCTAAAAACATAACCAAAGATCTTGCACCACCACCGACACAATCAACTTCATCAACTACAGTCACAACAATAACAAAATACAACAGCTACAGCAAACTCTAAAGAACGGGCCGGAATAAATTCGAATAACCAATCGACTATTCCAGCTACAGCTTCGCTTGAATTACCTGTGACCGCTAAGTCAATAATAAAAACAAGACAACAAAAAAACAGCAAATAGCATCCGACCTTGATGCAATGGAAGCGCTTCGACAGCATAAGGGGCGAATCTGAAAAAAATTAAAACATGTAGTTAACAGAAGCATAAAAAGAGCAGATGTGATAAGCTATATATATGACCAACTTGGACAAAGACATGGGGTTCACAGATGAAGATATAAAACACTAATATCAACATACTAAAGATATACGTATTGAACTGGAAATGAAGAAACTGGAGTTTTCCGAGGGGAAGCTAGGCAAAACAAATCAAGAAATTTTACAAGAGCAAGTGAATATATGTATTTTCTGGAAGAACGATACAGCATGATACGAGTGCCACTGCCGAATGAATTAATTTCAGCACAAAATGGATACTAAAAATGCCAAAATGAGACCAGAGTGGGAAGAGCTATTGTTAGCCTATTTCATCACTCACAACAAAAACATTGGACTCACCCAGAAGTTTGTATAACCTAACCTTCTGCAGGGACTCCTGTTCCCAGAGAAAGGATAACGTCAGCCCTTTTGAGGGAAAAACTCGATTACTAAGGGTTATCACTTTGACATGATATCATTCTACCATACCATTTAAAAAAAACGAGATCCTTTGAGTCTCCGTTCTACATTTACGATCCAAGATACCTAACACGACCGAAAATTTAACTGGACGCTGAGGCCTTACTTTTTATAGTTAAATTTGGATAACGTTCAACACACTGTGCACATAATTCTAAATTGCTAAACTGTATACATGGAACAACGTACAACCAAATTATAGCGTGATTCTAATTACGAGTGTAGCTAACACATAATTGCAATAGGATATAGCCCGTTTTAGCTACTGGGCAGGATTCGACTTTAGTATGTCTGGAGTTTCAGTATCATAGCGTTTGTTTCGACACAGAGCTTTCCGTCGGGCTCCTTTCCCTCATTTCCTTGGTCCAGAGTACCAAAGACAAATGTGTGGTCCGATACCCACTCGTCTAGCAAACAGGTGCCGTGAAAAGCGTGTATGCACGGAACAGGGATGGTGTCACAAGTGTTGTGTCCAACAATCGCTCTCGACGTTTTACATTGCAATATTACATACCCAGTTGGAATGAGTGTGTTTGATTGATTCCCGCTTATGATTGCTTATAAACAGGTCCATTAGGGCTTGATTGTCCTTTGACTTGTGAGCTTAATTAAACAGCACATTATGTGTACATAAACGAATGGGAAGTGTGGCCTAATCGGCGAAAGCGACAGAAAACCCTATTAAGTAAATAAGTAAGCCGGACTACCTATCGTTAACTGATCCAAAACCTTGAAATGACAGATACTTGGCATTGGATAGTGGAGGTTGAGATTATTTTAGACAAGATAGAGACTTATTGGAGATATCCAGCTAGTCTATAGTGCGTGATAAGATGGGTATCAACAGTTAAAGAAGCGATGGAACTTGTAAAAGAGATATGGATGGACGATGGGAAGAAGATGAAAAGATTAATAACTTTGAACACTTCATACTGGGCATATTGAAGAAAAGATAGATATCTGCGTCTATTGGCATTACGCACCATTATGTTGTACTAAAATGGAATCAATTGCCTTTTTTAGAAACATGAGAACATTAGGAGAACTGTAATAGAAAAGGAAATAAAAATTATCAAGGTCACCTGGGCGAAGAAAAGGAAAGATAAGGAAAATACGAAACAGAAAAGCTAAATAGCAATTGAATGAAGAGGCAAGAAACGTTTTTAGCCATGTAGCATACAGACTGGATGCCTAAAGAAGAAAAGAAGAAAAGGAAAAGTTATTAGACAAATCAGGAGATGGTGGGAAACTTGGAGAAATAAAAGAATAAAAGAATCAAACGACCCACTCAGTTGCCAGAGAAAGATATACTCATTGCCGAACAATTTGTTTGTCTCTACAAACTCCATTAACGTCACACGTTAAATTCCCATTGTCCCCAAGTACCATTCCCATGTTAAATTATCCTTTATGTCCTCCCTCCCCGCTCGTGTCATTTCCATATTAAATTCTCGTTTATCCTCTAAGTTTTATTTGTCCCCTGGATGTCTTTCCGTGTTCAATTCTCGTTTATAGCCACACGTTGTGCCATTTGGTCCCCAACTGCCACACATAACTACTTATACCTCAAAAGATCACGGTGTATCGTGTTTTACCGTTATACCGTCATACTTTTTATAACGAGTTGTATGGTTGGTTGGATTGAATGAACCTGTCTACATTATAACTCAAAATAATTTTAAAAATTATTCGAGAGTAACCTGAAGGCATTTTTTCATAGGTTCTAATTTTTGTTTGGTATGGTATTAAAATATTGCATTTTCTGACATGTTTAAAGTACTCAAAGCGGTAGCAAATGCGACTTTTTATATACGACGCCCCTGGCTGCGTGGTTTTAGTTCTGTGGAAAACTTCCGTCAATACATGCCACCATCTAGACCTCTCTTGATGTCTACATGTATTTAGTGCTTACATGTTTCTTTGAAGGTAAGGTGGATTGTAAAACCGTTGCTTCAGTTGATTTAAATAACTAAATATAAATAGTCTATTAATTCACCATATAAAAAGTCAGTGCAAAGCATTTCTTTTGTAAAGGTGCAAAAAGTCACAAGGAAGTGACAAAGTTCCTCAGATTAATTATATGATTGGTTCTGACACCGGACAAGCACTCTCTTCGATACTATATCCGACTGATGTTCCTGTCCAATATAGTGGCCTAGTGGTAGAGCGTCTGCCTCGGATTACGGGAGGTCGCTGGTTCGAACCCCGGCCGACTTATACCAATGACTTTTAAAAGTGGTACTAACAGCCGCCTCGCTTGGCGATCATTATTAAGAGGTTAGTGTTAGGACTAGTTGGCCTAGTGTCAGGATAATGAGACTGGGTGGGACATCATGGTACATGTCTGGGGCATGATGCCCCAGGGCTAAACATTATTATAAACTGTTACAATGCAAACATCGTAGCGATATGTCTGAAAATGTTTTAAAACCTACGTTAAAAATCTAAAACACACACACACACACACCTTTCCACACCCGACACTATATCCTGCTGATATTCCTGTCCAAGATGGGACTTGGATATAATTTATGGTTCAATTTACGCCCGAGATAATTTTCTAGTCATTAAGCCACCATTATAATTATAATTAGAAAAGAGTAAAGTCGATAATTTGAGGAACTTTTGTCACTTGGTAAGAATGTTTATTCCCTTCAGGCTATTTCCTGTGTTCAACATTCAGCTCATGTCATCCACCTGTGACCGACGTTAGGCCTAAAGTTATTCCAGTACCTATAAATCACGTGACGCTCACACCTTTGCAAGCGTGAGTATTGGTCGTTGGTCTATGCCCCGCGTTCGAAAGCATTACAACCATAAATTAATATTATGCGCAGAGTTCTAAGCTGAGGTTGGTCATCGGTATCTTTATGGATGTATATAAACATGCTGAACATAGTCGTAGGTTACTTAGTAAAGGGTTATGTAAGCACACTAGCAAGGGACGTAGTATGCCAGCAACATAGAAAGCCTCTCACTGACAAGCATTTTAGTAATAATGCATCACCGAATGATCGGCACGCTAATCGACTTAAAGTCGGTCTGTTAAAAAAAGAGCATATATTGTCACACTACAGATGAAGAATATTATGTGTAGGTAATTTATGAGTAGGAATCGCCCGAAATTGCGCTCGTTGATATTCATGCCAAGCTGTTGACAATAAATGAATTATTTGTACAAACTAAGCTTTGACCGGAGCGTTGAGTATTGCGCAAGAATTAAGCTATTGGAGGAGTGGTCATCTACTGCTATCGATTGTAAATGCATAGGACTGCTAGATGACTCCATCTATTTGATACTAGGTAGTTCTGGTATACTGCGCACTGTAAACAGGCGACGGTTTTATGTGTTGAATGAAGGTTTAAACATTTACAAGAATCCTTTGTTCGTATTGTTTGTAAGAGTATTCTATGTAGGTTCATTGATGGTTTGACCACGATAACAACGTAGACTATAATTTGTATAAAATTCCAGTGTGAAACAGTTTGTTTCAAATGATAGGTAAGTAAATTTAATATCTTTATCAATGAATCTGTACATAATTAGTTCAGCTTTTGCCTCCTGAAATTTATTTAATATTTTGGTCAAAAGCATCTCTATTGTTAGGATATTATATAAATCATACATCTATTCACAGTTGTGTTAACTCCATATAGGCTATGAGGTATGCCAGTTACTGTCATATTAACTCCATATGTGTGGTATAAACAGCTGATATCGTATAAAGTTTGCAGTAATCCTAATATCGACTTATGGATTGTGTTGCCGGTACATATAAATATTACAGTAACATTACCTAGTACAGGTTGAGGAAAAGATTCATGGTTTATTGGTATATATTTTTGTGATCGCATTATATGGTTTCATAAAAGTTTCACGAGTAATTTCCTTATTCAATGCAGCTATTACACTTGTCAACTTTGCAACCTATTCACTTGGCAACCTATTCACTTGATTTATCCTCCAGAACATTGTTCAGGAGCTTAAAGTCAGCGGCTATATCCTTCCCATATTGATATCCAAATAACCGCTTAGCAAGTCTTAAATCGTTCAACGATTGCCTGATCACGATGAATTTCCGTGTGTTCTCGTCTGATTTTAACGTAGTGCTTGTTCAACAGCAATGATAATGCACCAAGAAATTCTTTGCCAGTATCAACCTGCAATAGTTGTGGCCGCATGGGTCCTCACTGATAAATTCGTTCTAACGCAAGATGCAATTTCAGTTATTGTTTAGTTGATAATGGTCCCTCTTTATATCTACTCGCAAGGTCAACAACAGTTGACGCGTATTTGTGTGTATTGACATCTGCCAGTTTTAATGGTATCGTGTGGTAAAAGCGAGATATCCGCTTGATGAACTTCATTATGGATGTCGACATCAAAGCGTGCGTATTGAATTTTCTTAGGAGAACTTAGATTTGACATTGCCTGTCGTGCTAACCACGCTACAGCAACATAATGTGAGACTTTTGCTGCTTCAGCAAGTTTGCTAATTGCTGCTTTACCTCTCCAATACGATCTCGTGGAATAATAAACAGATTTCATTATAATAATCACTTGATTAATTAACCGCCCCTAGCATTATTTTACCTTTCATGGCAAATCTGACTAGAAAACTACCGAGTTTTCTCCGAGATTTATTAGGTATATAATTTAACGCATGAATCAATTTCACCTCTGCGAGAATGCCGTTGTTGCAAATCTTTGCTTTTATACACGACTTCATGAATGTAACACGCTTGATCAATCTTATTTAATACTCTCCGAGCTTTGGTTGGTCGTAGTTATAGAGTCTGATATCGAGACGAGTTACAAGACTATAATAATTATATCCAGTAAGGTATTTCTCGTCGGGGTATTTAGCCCATGGAGCTTCTGGTAATTTCCTTAATGAAGCAGCGATATGACCACCACGCACTATTTGCGACGCGGCTATAAATTTATATTTGTTTGTACCACATTTCACACACTTGCCTGTACGTGCGCGTCTGTTACTTTTGTTGCTATCGTAGTCAAATCCAACGGTGGGTGTTGACGCTCTATATCGAATAGAATATAAATTCATTATTATATGGATATAAATGACTTTTAATCGACACGAAAACTAGAGACAGTAAGGTACCATTCAACGTTACAAAATTATATCAGAATGATTATAATAGGCCCATCTGGATCTGGTAAGATAATTATTGCTTAATCTGATAATGAGATGGCTCAAATGGAATAAATATTTAGTAACGCCATCTGTAGATGATCAACGATGTTAAGAAACACTTATAAAGTTTCTAATCCAAATGCAAAATTATTGACGAGGACAAATACTATATTATTGGTTTTATTACGTATCGGCTCCTTCAAAGTAACAAAGAAAGAATGAAACAACAAGCTTTAAAAATTTAAAACAATTTATTTTCCTTGAAAATATGAAATAATTGTAACTATGTAAAAGAAAGACGATTTACGAAAAAGATCCAAACTTTTGTTTTAAAGATAAAAAAAATACAAGTACTGTTAACAGATTTAATTGATAGTCTGAAGTTCAGTTTCGGTCCAGGATGGCGGATGATAACGTCAGACGAAGGCTAACACAAAAATTTAGAATTTACACAATGCAGCACAGTTTTTATTATTCCGTTCTAATTTAGAATATTTTCAGAAAATCTCTTTGTCGAAACCAGTAGTGTTCTCCAGGAAAATAATTATTTAGAAAGACAAAGTACAATTAGCTCCACTAACAAAACACATGTTCTACGTAGACATAAGAACAGAAAACTTCTAGCACAAAAACACCTTTCTTAAATTAATAGAAGCTGTGTAATTCTAAGATGTTACAATAGGCTACGACTCTGCTCTTTATTCTGAATGTGACTGGCTGAATTTTCTTAAAAATATTTAAGCATATAGACGAAGCTAATACGTCGCTTCAATTACACGCGCACTGAGGACACGTAATTTCGCAATACATCTGAACATTACGAAAGACTCACCAAGCATCAGTCAACCGTTTTCACATGCATTTCCGAATGTTTGCTTGTAATGAATTTGCCATCACACAGCACGTGTTCACACGAGTCACATTTACTTAAGTACACCTGATGTTTCTAACAACATATTAGACTCGTGCTAATATAATCATAATAAGAATAATAATAATTACATTGAATGAAAAAAATGAAGAAATAAAACGATTTATACAGAATTAATTCTTTAACACTTGAACTACAGGGTTGTAATGATATTGATGAAGCTCTATCTATAGATGACTTAGATGGATTCATTAATAATATCGTAGTATTTGATGACATGATGCTGGATAAACTATGCAATGCAGATAAGATATTTTCTCGAGGCCGTCACAAAACCACGGACGTGATTTATGTTACTCAGCGATATACACAGATACCTAAGGTGACCAGAGCCAACTACAATAATTTAGTTGTGTTTAATGGCGTAGATAATTATACTTTACAAGATATTTATTATGGTGTTCAGGGGACATTGATATGATTACATTTAAAAACTTCGTTTCAAAAGCACAAGTTATTCCGTTCGGATTTATAACCATAAATTTACATGATCCAAGAACAAGATATAGTGAAGGCTGGTACAAAAATATTTGGTCCTTGATTTTTATCAAGCTAACAGCAGAGAGGCTGAATAACCAATACTGAGAAACCAGCGGATTAAAAAAAAAGTCGGAGATAAGCTAATTCAATTAGAGAGTGTTTGGTTTAACGTTATCGACATCATTTTTCAGCCTTCGTAACAACCTTTATTTTTCAAACATAAGGTCTCAGGCAAAGTGTTCACCCTCACTGCTGTTGCAGATACGTGGCGATTTAAAATATCACCAGGCAATGCAATAGGAGTTTTCCCCCTGAAATCAAGAGTAGCCAGGATCTCCGCCCCCGTTATTTTTTTAAAACACCCCAATAAGACTTATAAACGTGGCAGGTTTATTGTTATGTATTTCAACGAACATCTAACGTGGAAACACCTTATAGAAGAATTGATTACATAATAAAGAGGGATTTATCCATACGAATTAACCCGAAAAACACGAACTGAGGAGCGGATAAAACCACTTTATTGACACTATCGCTTCCTAATTGGATCCAAATTAAACTGGATGTCAAGTATTCGCGTCAGCAAGCCAGAACCTTCTATGGAAGCTAGACAGCTTTAAACGTAAGGCTCTTTTAACATGCGCTGGAGCAT